GATTTTTCAGCTTAACTTTAAAAAGATGCAAAAAAGTAGGTAGATCAAAATTAAAATTAGGCAAAACAATTTTGTTCCAAAGATGGGGTGCACGATAATCAATGCAAAATTGGTTAAAACTTGTTCGACAAAAAGGCTCATATAGAAGGTTGTTATTTCTTAGAGAGTATTTATTGGTAGGTTTCAAAGTAGTTAAATCATTAAAAACGGCAGGAGAAAGATTGTTTTTACATATATATACAAAGCATAAAATATTAAAAATATTAAGTTCGTAAATATTTAGTATTCTCATTTCAGAAAAAAGATGTTTAGAGTGAGAAAAACGATCAGCAAAATTAATTACACGTATTGCATGTTTTTGACGGCGATAGAGAGATTGTAACTTACTTTTTTCAGTGCTTGCCCAAGCAATATTTGCATAATTCATATAGCTATGAATGCATAATAAAGTTGGGATAAAACTTTTTTATTTATATAGATTCTGGCCTTATAAAGAATTCCAATATTTTTTGAAACTTTAGTACCAACATAATCAATATGTTGCTTCCATGTGATGTTCTCATCAAGGAATACGCCTAATAATTTTGTGGTACAATCTCTTTTTATTTCAATATGGTCAATAAAAATATCAGGTAGAGTTGGGGGTAAATAATGTTTTTTAGTTTTCGAATGAAAAATAATTTATTTTGTTTTATTTAATATTTAGGGTAAGTTTATTGCATTTGAACCAGCTAGAAATTATTTTGAGTTCTTCATTCATAGTAGTGAAGAGTTTATTAATATTGTTATCAGATAAAAATAAATTAGTATCATCCGCAAACATAATACTTAAAAGATAAGAAGCTTTATGCAAGTCATTAATGTATATTAAAAAAGAAGTGGCCCTAAAATTGATCCTTGCGGAACACCACATGAAATATCTAAAACATTTTTTTGATAAGGATCGTTAAAAGAAACGAATTGTTTTCGGTTTGTTAAATAACTTTTAAACCACTTCAAAATTACACCATCCACTCCATAATATTTAAGTTTATGAATCAAAATGCCATGATTTACTGTATCAAATGCTTTTGATAAATCCAAAAAAATACCTAGAGTGAATTGGGAATTTTTGAAAGAGTTGGAGATTTCACGGACGAATTGAATGATTGCATGCTCAGTAGAATTATTTTTTTTAAAGCCAAACTGATTTTTATAAAAAAAATTCTTCTCCTTAAAATAAGTATATAATCTATTGTAAATAATTTTTTCTAAGATTTTTGAAAATGTCAATAAAAAAAAAAATAGGTCGGTAGTTACATATATTAGTTCTGTCTCCTTCTTTGTATATTGGGATTATCTTAGCTATTTTTAACTTATCTGGAAAAACTCCTTGTTGTATTGAGGCTCTGAAAACTTTAAAGAGAATATCTTTTAATTGTTCAAAGCATTCTAAGACGAAAAATGAGCTGATGAAAAAAATGTTTCCATTTATTTCATCAGCTCCAGGGGCTTTGTTTTTTTTAATAGATTTAAACGACACTTGAAACTCCTCAAATGATAGCTCAGAAGATAAATTATTTGAACAAATGCAATCATCCATCGGTGATAAAAAGTTATTGAACTCAACTTGGGTATTAGGAATTTTATTTGCTAGTTTCGAACCGATATCAATAAAGAATTTGTTAAACTCATGAGCTATTAATCTAGGTTCAAAAATATCTTTGTTATCCACTCTAATCACCTGCGGTAGGGAACCTGAGCAAGTTTTTTGTTTTCCACCAATTTCTCTTAATATTTTCCAAGTACGCTTAGAGTCGTTCTTAACATTTTCAATTAATTTCGAGTAGTAATTCTTTTTTAAATTTTTACGAATTTTTTCAAATAGATGTTTGTAATCTTTGTATAATTTTTCGTTTAAAGATGTTTTTGTTTTGAAGTAATTTATATATAGCTTTTGTTTGATCTTAGATGATTTTTTAAAACCCTTAGTTATCCAAAGAACATTTAAGCTTTTTTGATTTATTGTTTTTTCACAGATGGGAAAATTGGCATCATAGACAGAATAAAATGTTTTATAAAAATTTTCATAAATTTTATTTGCGTCGTCATTAAAATTTATATGCTTCCAATGAAGCAGTGATAATTATTTTTTAAACTGTTTAATATTGTTTATATTATATATGCGTTTACTTATTTTATTATTAGTTTTGGTTTTAATTTTAGGATTTGAGTTGAATGATAGAAATATTGGAAAATGATCAGTTATATCTGCTTTCAATATACCTTTTTGTATATTGTTATTGAAGACATCAGTTGTAAAAATGTTATCAATGAGAGTTGCTGAGTTTGCTGTTACTCTAGTTGGACCATTAATTAAAGGAATTGCTCCTATTTCAAATATTAAATCATAAAATTTTTTTTTTTTTCTTTAATGCCTATTTTGATAACATTTTGCTCAAAAAACGTGCTCAGATTCTCACTCAGACCGTCAGGTGGTCGATAACAGCAGCTTAGTAATACATTTTTAGATTCATTGTTTAAGATTTTAATAGTTAAAATTTCTTTATCGCCGTCAGAAACACTTGAATCATTCCTAACGTAATGCGCAACGGTTTCTTTCACGTAAATAAGAACTCCGCCACTGCGTTTATTTGTATGTCTCTCTTGGGATATTAACTCAAAACGGGGAAGATAAAAGTTTGCGTTATTACTTAAATCGTTTGCGTTTATCCAAGTTTTATTTTTAGTTTCTTCTAATAAGTAAAGGAGCTTTTCAAAGTTGTGACTTATGCTTCTAATATTTACGTGAAGGATTTTAATTTGTTCGCTGTTATTGAAATTAAAAAGATCCTTCTATTTCACTCGGATAAGTAAAAGCAATCATTATTTAAATCATGAGAATAATTAGGGTCTTTTTCTACATTTATATCTATTAAAGTTTTCATTTTTGAAAAATTAAAAGCTTGATGCTTAAAGTTGCTAATTTCAGCCATTCCAGTGAGAGTTAGAATCTCCTTTCATTTCCGCGACTACATTATTTTAATTATGCATATCTTAAACAAAAATTTTATCAAATTTGATTACTGCATACTTACCTTCTTTACGATGTCTTTTAACTTCTTTCCACAATTTTTTACAATGTTCTAAGGTTTCTTCTGCATAATCTTCATTGATAAAAATTCCAGTGCCCTTAAGTTTTTTCACAGATGTTAAAATTTTGCATTTATCATTATAATTTAGGAGTTTAAGGACTATAGTTCTTGGTAGCTCGTCTTTAACTCTTCCTATTCGATGGGCTCGCTCAACCACTATATCATCGGCAATTCCAAGCTGGTTTTTAAAGATCTTTTTAACTGCTCTTGCACAGTCATCCCACGTTTCAGACGATAGTTCTGCAACACCATCAACTCTTAAATTATTGCGGCGAGATCTATTTTCTAGATCTATATATTTTTTTTCAAAGTATTTATTTCTTCATTGATCTTTAAATTTAGTTGAGACAGCATTTCCTTGATGTTTTCCTCTTGGAAATTAATACTATCTTTAATGTCGCTAGTATCTTTTTCTAGTATTTCAACTCGGGATTTATTAAAACTAAGTTTTAATAAATCTTTTTCAAGTTTATCTAGTCTGTCTGATATTATTTTTATGTTGGAACTCATTTTTTTTGTAAAAGTTTCTTCTTGTTTTTTTAATAAATTTTTAGTTTCTTTTAAAATGTTTTGCTTCTGATCTTCAAGCTTAGATATTAGTTTCTCAATATTTTTCATTGATAGATCCATCTTCGCACAATTAAAAACAGTAATGACTCACTCAATAATCATCTTTCAAATCCGGCAAACAACTTTAAAAGCAACTTTCACTTATCCGGCAAACAACTTTAAAAGCAAACAACTTTCACAAATCCGGCAAACAACTTTAAAAGCAACTTTCACTTATACAAATTTAAAAGAAAAAAAAACACTTTTTCTAAAAAAAAAATAAAAAGACAACAACAAAACTTTCAATTTCCAAATCTTTCAAGTTTCAAACTTAAGAAAAAGGTTGCAACACTGCAACAACTTCCAAAATAACTTTCAAACAAACTTTGAACATATCATCAACAAAGAAAAATTTCAACTCTCAACACAAAACTTTTAACAACAATATAACAAAAAGCAAAACAATTTTCAACAACAAACAAACTTTCAGCAAAACTACTTTCAAACAACAAACAAACTTTTCAACAACAAACAAACTTTTAGCAAAACTACTTTCAAACAAACAAGCAAGTTTTTGAATAAATAATAAAAAAACAGCAAAACCTTTCTTCTTTCTTTATTTAATCAAAAATTACTTTTATGGATATTTTATTTACTTTCTTCTTTCTTTCTTTAATCAAAAATTACTTTTATGGATATTTTATTTATTTATTTTTTAATTTTCGATCGATTTCTTTTACAGCAGTTGTAAACACGTCCGCCTTTCGACATGTTTTTTTTTTGTATAATGGTTATTATTCTACTTTATAAAGCAAAAAACTATTAGAACCGTAATGCGTAAGACTTAAATCACGGATAGGTACCTAGTAAGTTAAAAAAAAACATTTTAATTAACAAGTGAGAAAAGCTTTAAAAATAAAAAAAAAAACAAAAAAAAAAAACGCGTAAGACAAATTTCGTCTTCAAATGGACAACATGAATGTTTTGTGACATATTCAAATGAGCAAAATGAATGTTTTGTGACAACGCATGTTCCACAATTAAATACAAAAAATACTAACAAGTTTTTAATTATTTGGGGGCGAGTTACAAAGCTAAAATACAAATATTGAAATTGCATAAATGTTATTTTACAGGGAATTAAGGCGTCATTACATCAACAATACCGAGGACATCAAGATACAAAAAACAAACAAAAAATGTCGATTCTCTATTTCATACAAATTATAAATATATACATTTATATAAATAATTTAAAAAATAAATTTAAAATTATTTGATTCTAAGGAATCAGAGTTATAAAAAAAACAACTGACATCTCAGCCAAGTTTAAAAAAATAGTTTATACACAAGTTTATTAAAAATGTTGTATGGCTAATATGGCGCATTTACTATAAACACCTGGTTATATATTTCACAAATCAGATGAACACGAAATATTTATACGATCAACAAGATCACTGTAACTGGATTTTACTTCAACGTTATTTTTTTCTTTAAGGAGAGATTGAAAGGAATTAAGCCATTGTTTTTTATCATGTTGGTCGTTAGCTTGTAAAATGACGGATTTGCTTTTTCTTAAGTCTTTCATAGAAACACGAATAGCATGCTTGGCTAAAATAATATAAAAACAAAATTAATCTTATACCAAATCGCTTTTCAAACAGTTCTTAATTTTTACCATGTTAGTACGCTTTACCACACAACCCATCGCGCCTTGTACGCATAGACAATTAAGTTAGAACAATAGTGATCTATTAATATCAAGCTAAATATAAAAATTACTTATTAGAAAGGCGTAAATAAAGAAAAAAATGGATTCAAATAAAATATTTGAGAGTTTTAATTAACTTTTTTTTACAGGAAAAGTTTTATTTTCTTAAGTTATACCTTGAGTTGTATATAATGAAAACAAAAAACATTTTTTTAGATTTTTAAGAAACTTTATTTAATTGAAAAAAAAACTATTTCATTCTAACCTTACAATAGAATGAAATATGCGAGTCGAGAAGTAATTATTAAAAAAAAAAAAAAAAACATTTAAAAAAACAAACAAAAAAACAATTAAAAAAGCAACAAGTGATAACATTAAAAAAAAAACAATCCATAAACAATTAAAAAAACAACTAATTAACAAAAAAAAATTTTCCTTCTTGTGATGATGTTGAATCTTTTAATTATCAAAATCAAGCTGTTAATTGTGCGACACTTTTCATCGCAATGAAACTCCTTTTGCATATAGCTTTAACATGTTTTACTAAACCTTGAATTTTTGCACTAATACCATTCACTATTTTAAGTGTTGAAGTTTCACCCAAAACTTTACAGAACTTTTTACACTTGGCTTGCTTTGCTGCTGCTGTTGTTGTTGTTGTCGGAGTCACTGTTTTTTATTTATTTATCATCAATATTAAGCTTACGTTGTTTCCTAGCTTGGTTTGCTTCTTTTTTGCTTCGCTTTTACTGATTTAATTTGTATGACGCAAGACGATTACTTGCAGCATTGATGCAATTTACAAGTATAAAAATGATTTTTTAATTGTTAGAAACTAAATTCAATGGTTGTTTAGAACCATGCCTGCAAACTGTGTTGCTTGGTTTGATCACCAGAAAAACCAAATTCAACAAAATTCCCCATAAAAAACATGAGCTTAGACCTATCACTAATAGTGTACCTTTGGAAAACAGATGAGACTGATCTTGGTGTTGCACATAGTCACTAACTAGTGTGATGATGTCATTTTAAATTTTACTGAAGCCCCAAACAGATTTGATAAGCGTATCTACTAGAGTTGATTCAATTTGTTGTTTGAACCACTGCCTATTATTTTACCTATGCTGTGAACACGTCTATGAGTTGCTACTGGTATGCTGAATGGTTTGTTGAGTGGAAATTTGTTGAGTGAAAATTTGCAGCTCTTTGTTGTACTTTGACCACTGTAAGCACGACTAATACCGTAAGTCATGCTTACGGTACAAGCTCTTGAGGCTTGTACCGTAAGCATGACTTGCTCTTGAGGCATACTTTATATTAGAACAGATTTAATAATAATCGATTCGTGTTTTATACAAATTTTTACAAAACGTAACTATCTTAACAAATTTAACAATTTGTCAGAAAAATTTGTTACTAAAACTTTTTCTTATTCTGAAAAATATTCTCTAAAACTTGATCGAAAAATATTTGCATTTATTTCAATAATTAAGAGCACGAGAGTAAAAAAACATCTTATTTTACAATATTAAATATTAATTTATACATTTGATTAAATAACTATAAAAAAAATTCAACTTACGCATTTTATTTAACAATTACAATAAATAATAAATAAAATATATATAAAAAAACAAGTTTTATGGCAAACTTTTTAAATTCTTCATTTGAGACCATTTTTTATAACTATAGTTTTATATTAGCTCCAATGTTATGACTAATTAAAAGTGTGATCTACGCATTGGAAAAATTGTGTTCATATTTTATATAAACTTTATTTTAGAACTAATCATTACAACTGTGATTAATCAAGACATGACATCACATAAATATATGTGATTAATCAAGACATTACGTCAAATTAGATGTGTGATTAATGAAGACATCACATCGCATTACATGTGTGATGTCTTTATTTTACTAAAGTTTAAAAAACAACGTGACATCCAATACTCCCTTCATAAGGCATAATATTTATGTACATTTTTGACTATAAATATATCTTATAATAATGGTTTATGAAAATATAAATTATAGAATTAGTCAGTAATTTTTTTGTAGTAATTTTACCATTTATATATATAATTATAATTTTACTATTTATATATATACGCATAACAAAGGTTTTTAAATGTTGAAAATAATTTGAAACTTTTGTATGTTTATACTAGTGTCCAATTTCAAAAAATAATCACAGTAATGAAAACTTGGAAATAAAATATCAAAATAACAACTTTCCCTCCAAGACCTATGTGAGAAGAATGTGACCCAAGGAGAAGAATGTTTTAAAATATAGTTTATGGTGCTATCTTAAATTTGGTTTTGAAATAGCAACCACGTAAAAATAATCTAAATTATGAAGGGTGATGTTTAGTGACTCCGACTCCGCTAAAAATGTTGCAACTCTGATGCTGACTCCACAGCCCTGGTTTTATGAACAAAAATCATCTAAATTAGGAAGGGTGATGTTCAAATCACAAATACTTGTCTTGGGCAAAACTTTAAAATTAGCCTAAAAGCCAAAGCTCTGCCAAATATGTTCACTCATACACCCTTTGGGTGTATGAGTGAACATGGGCGTATAAGAAAAGTATTTGTGATTTAAACATCACCCTTCCTAATTTAGATGATTTTTATTCATACAACCAGGGCTGTGGAGTCGGCATCAGAGTTGCAACATTTTTAGTGGAGTCGGAGTCGCTAAACAAAATCGTGACTCTGACTCAATAGTAAAACTTCTCGGCACATACAATAGTGCATGTACAAAACATGCAATTAACCTTATGTTCATACTAAACCTCAAAGAACGTTCATAAATTTGTCAAATTTTTTTTTTTTTTATCTTATTGAGTAATATTTTTTAAAGAATTCAAAGAACTTTTCAAAAATTTTGCTTTGGAGTTATAGTCGGAGTCGGAGCTGGAGTCAGAGTTGTACTCAAAAAATTTCAACAACTGGATCAGAATCGGAGTTGTACTCAAAAAATTTTAACAACTGGAGTAGGAGTCATTACTTTTTTTTTACAACTCCACACTCCTGCATACAACCAGAGTTGTATCAGAAAATCCTCTGGTTGTATGAATATTCATTCATACAACCAGAGGATTTTCTTTGGAGATATTTGAGAACTAAAAAGCCTCCTAATAAAATCATTTTTAAAGTTACAACCTATTTGAAAATAAATTATTTTTTATATGCAAAAATCAGTGTTTTTGACATTTTCTACACAACACAGACTGCATGAAATATTGTCAATTGCTATAAGCTGATAATATATTTAATCTTAAGTCTAATAAATTAATTCATTATTGGCCAACATCTGCAAGTTTATTAAATTTAAATATTAGGTTTAAAAAGTTAAATAAAAATTATTCAAGTTCAAAATCATGTTAAAGATTTAAATGTTCAAAAATGACATTGTATAACAAACTCAATATTTATCATTTGAACCAGTGAGAACCCTGTTATTACTTTTAGCTGAACCAGCAAGTCAAATTATTACTTACCAGTTGAATTTTTTGTAAGAGTTGTTCGAAAAGATCCACCTAAACGATGCTCACCATCATTTAAATCTGTGACTTCCAAATCAACAACAGGAATAGGCTATATAAATAAAAAATACATGCCAAACATGAATATTTAAGCCCAAAGTTAAAATCTAAAATATGCAAATTGGTAAAACTTTAAATGAAATAAATTAACCTGCAAAAAGACATGATAATTTTTAACTCCATTTCTAGTTATGAGTCGACTGCACAAAAAAACGGTATCGAACAAGAAAGCTTCAACTTTCTATATGTATGATATAAATTATATAATAGATCACAAACTATATATATATATCTATATCTATATATATATATCTATATATATATATATATATATATATATATATATATATATATATATATATATATATATATATACAGGACCTTCGAGAGGGAGGGGCAAATTGACCTGGGCGCCGGGCAATCTGTTGGTTATTTATTTATTTATTTTTATTTTTAATTTTTTTTTTTACAATAAATATAAAATAATTTAATGACTGACAATTTGAAATCTGCTTAGTTTTTGTACTTGAGATTAAAGCTTTAGTATTCGGAATAAAAATGCTCAAGAAAAAAATAATCTAAAATTTAAATTCTATTATTATAATTAATTATAAACTTTTTTTTACGAAAAAAATACAATTTATTGAAATAGAATTAGACGGAAGCAGGCGTATTCTGTAAGCCTGTAAACAGTTAACAATGCTAGCTCATGCTTGATTGTTTGGAAGATGATGCCATGTGGTAATTATAATAGTAACTGATTAAATATCGGTTTTAAGCAGTCAACACTAATAGAACTGAAAACTTCGTTTGGTAATGCGCTCCATGGGTTCGCTTCAACTTATTGCAAAAAAAAAAAAAAAAACACACGAAACTTTATTGTTGATTTCACGATAAAAGCACTACTCTTTTAGGTAGTACTTGACTTTGAAGTAAAAGAATCATAGCTATGCATTTTTTAGACAAATAAGCAATTTTGCCACTACCAGCACCAGAACAGTTATCAAATATTTAAGTTTTTGCATCTTTGCTGCACTCAATACGTGTAACTTACTAAACTCAATATGTGTGGTTTGAAGAACTGTGGATCAGTAGAGGGCTCAAAAAATTTCCCTAAATCTGAGCTAAAGAATTTCAAAGTTAATCATCAGAGTCAGAACGAGAAACTTTATATCTTACAATGGAGAATGTGATGTTCAATCTGATTTGGTAATAATTACTGCTAACCCCTCTTTGTA